CTTTTTTTTTTTAATGGATTTTTTCTTTAACGGATTTTTTCTTTAACGGATTTTTTTTAATGAGTTCTTGATTTTGACATCCTTCACTTATTTATATGTTTGATCCTATTTACGTATTGATCACGTATCAGCAAATATGATAATAAAAAGCGGAGTATAAACTACCGATTGATTATTAATTCGATCTTTGATGCATTTATCTGTATGTAAATCAATAAGTAAATCAATAGTGAAAAAATAGGATAATCTGATTTCACGTATCCGATGCAAATATGCAATCGGTACGTATGTCAATTTTACTGTTGATCCTATAATTCCGGCAGCATTTAATTGCCGAAGGGACCGGAATAATAATTGCCGAATAATGCGACTAACTATAATTACGCGAATTTATGTAAGAATGCGTAGTAATTTAACAAAAGATTACTTGAATAAATGACTCAGGATTAGTTCATTTTGATAAAACTTTTATATTTGGCAGATTTTAAAGTCATGTGATTATTATCCAATCAAATAGAGATTTTATTTGCAAACAGATGAGAAAAAAAACTTGTTAATCTATCATTGTGATCCCTTGTACGTACGTATGTATTTAAAAAATTACAGATGTGATCAATTAATTTATTTTTATTTATAATAATTGCAAAAAAATTCTACGTACAAAAATATATATTGACTAACCTAAAAAATTTTACAAAAAAACAAGATAATCCGAAAAGTCCGAACTTTTTTCTATGAACCGCCTTCTATCACTTTTTTTTTTTTTTTTACAATACCGACTCTGTTAAAGATTTCCAAAATTTTCGAATTTTTCATAGTCGTCTCAAATGTGGCAACTCATTTCTCTTGCCTTGATTGAAGATCTGAACTAATTTTAGCCGACTTTATCATATGAAAAATAGATTCGAATACGATAAAATATGTATGAGTTTAAGACCTGTGGCAATTCACCGACGATACTTTGACGCTTCTTTATTTTAGGAAATATTAATTTACTATTATATATACTTACAGTACGTTTTTTAAATAACATCACGTTATCATGAGTCACTATAATTTATAGTCCTTAAAAAAATGATGATAACGATAATTATTGTAGTCTGCTTTTAGTAATATATCGTCATTTATAAAACAATCCGAAATTTACTATTAATATAATTATTGTTCTACGAATAGTAAATATTTCATACAGTATTTTGCCGAATAACATGCACTTCTGAAAATGAGCTATCCTTCTAAAGTGTCAAAAAAAAACTCCACGTATCTAAAATAAGCAAACTTAAAATCTTCGTGTAACGTTTTGACAAAGAAATTCTGGACTTATTTTCGCGGGTAATACAAACCTCTAAAAAGGAAATGGCATATAATCTCGAAAGAAGAAAAAAAGAAAAGAAAGCGAAAATACTCAAAAACTAGTGTTTAAATCGACCTTTGTGGACTAATAAAAGATAACAGGGATGAAATTTTACATATAAAAAACTCCAACTTATCACTAAAGCTCACAACCTTAACGTCCTAATCATAAACTTCTATTTTTACATTCTTAGTTTACTTGATTTCCTTTTTTGGTTTGCGAATAAGTAATTTGTAAGTGCACGTACGTACCAATAGTGTTTATGACGTATTGATGCATTTAATTAGTTAGCCATGTCAATAATTTCTATCAAAATTTATAAATTACGTGTAATTAATGTCGCAGACGATTTAATTCAGCCTATGAAATTAAAAATTGATAGATCTTATTTGACCTACATATAAATAGTGTTTGTAGTCGATTTCGCCGATTTTTATCGACTTAGCCGGTTTAGTCAGCCTATTTTCCAAAATTTCGATACATTACCTTTCTTAGTACATAGTACTAAGAGGAGCCGAAATTTCCGAAAAGATATCAATAAACATAAAATACGAGTAAAGTCGAGACAAAATTTTGATGAAATCTCTGATAAACTCCGAAGGTAAAAAATATTAATCGACTTTACTACCTCAATGAATTCAATAAAAAATCTGATTGGTTAGTTTGATCAAACAGGCCAATCAGATTTTTTATTGAATTAATTGAAGTAGCTAATTAAGAACGTTCTTAGTCAAGTGAATTATATGTCGATTTTTAATTTCGATTATAATTCATAGGTCGAATTAAGATGTTGATTTTTAGTTCATAGGCCGAATTAATATCTTAATCGGTTGACTAGTGTCCATATCAAATTAATGAATTAACGAGATATATTGAAAATTCAATTCTTCAAAGATAGATATAATGTTCTAAAATAGATATAATGTTCTAAAATAGTATACAGTAATTTAACTTGTCGAATTGAATTCAAGCATGTGACCTTATTTGTACAATTATTGATAATAATGCCTAAAAATAAACCAAAGATGTTTTCATGTGCACTAACATTGATTGCAATTTTCTCAGAACTTAAACCCCTTCTTAAACTATAATTTTCCTAGTCCATTCTTCAAATAACAACAGTTCATATAAAAAGAATACAGAAATCGTTATAATCCTGGAGCGAATACAGACAGAAATTCAAAATTATGGTTTTGGTACTATAAAAGCGAACTTTTGATAGTATCATTTTTGCATAGAAATAAAGTCCTCCGTTACGTTCCGGGCGAGTGGATACTAATAGAAATATATCTTATATGTATTGTATCATCAAACTATTCGTAATACGCACGTACTTACATCGAATTGCTTCTGTTTAGTGAGACAATCTATGGGCTATAATCACAGTATCAGTAGTAGAGTAACAGGAAATATTTTTTTAGCTTTATTATTTTTCAAGATGGCTCTATTACTGCACTATAGGGGAAACGTTCTAGTTAGCTAGCCGTAGGCATCTGATAAGGTGACACTCATACTGCGTCTAAGCTGCAAAATCTGTAACTTTAAATGCCCATTTATCATCATGTAAAAATGACATTTAATAAATACTAATTCGGGTTCAAAATGGGACGAATGTCTAGTGACATTCAATAAGACTTCAAATGGCGGGAACGAATGCTTTAGGGCGTTCTCAAGCACCTACCTCAATGAATTTAATAAAAAATCTGATTGGTTAGTTTGATCAAACAGACCAATCAGATTTTTTTATTGAATTCATTGAGGTAGATGCTTGAGAACGCCCTTATCGTGTAAATGAGTATGGATTACTCATCGTTTGTTACGTATAAAATTCCAAATATTTCTTTATATGTTAATCATGATCGCGATTTATTTTTTATTTAACATATAATTATATAATAAAGACTAAACCTTATTAATAATTTATAGGTATTACTGGAGTACATTGTACTATCAAATAATATCAAATAACACCTTTTAAACCTAATTATTTGCTAATTTTGAAATTTATACTTTGTTAAATATATTATCATAAATCTATATACATGATTGTATTTTTAAACTTTGGTAGTTTCAAATATTTTTAGTTAACTGGAGCTGAGGTGAGTGAAGTGAAAGCCTCCAAGCCATTCTCTATTAAATTTTAGGAATGATCGATTCCCACTTCAACTGAACCAAATTTTAGGTTTAATAGCCAGAATTGAATCTAAACTAGGTTCAACGTTTGAATAATAGCTGACTTTGAAAGAATACAGTAATTTGAGCAATTAAAAAATTCAAATATAATTACAAAGTTTTTATTTTAAATGAAGCGAAATCCCATTTTTCAAAAAATCTAGAAGTTATTTCTACTCGTTTTGTATTCTTTTATTTTCGAAGACGTATATTTCTTTTTTTTTCTCATATTGATATGCTATTTTTCTTCATATCAAAGATATTAATATGTTTTTTTTTCATGTTTACATAATTTTCAGAATGACAATAACTCATCAATTTTTTAAATAAATACATGAAATAATAAGTCTTGTGAGGAAATATTGCACAGTTCATAAAAAGGTTATTTAAACGAACTCTTCATGACCTAACCATTAAAAAGGATTCACTCGAAAAGCTAAATTTTATAAGCTTTGTTAACTGCACATACTTCCGAAATTACCATTACTCTATTTACATATAAAGTAATTACATGTTTCTATTACAGTATATTACGATTTACGAATTAAAAGAGGATTGAAACCTACAATGTACAGGACGATTGGTAAAGTCAAGTTTGAAAATTTTTGCTCAAAAAAAAAAAGAGACCCAGTTTAACTCTACAGTAATAGTGACTTGTATAAATTCTTATCAATCGTCAGAACTTATGCATGTAACGACGAAATTTAACCTAGCATATGTAAAGCTTAATGTCATGCCTGCATGCAATTATGCATGCGTATGGTGTTACGAGAATTTGTGTTCGAATTTTCTTTGTAATATTTTTTTTATTGTATTAGTATTCCTTACTATATTTGTTAGTACTATTGTATGGAATGGCTGTGTATTGGTTTGAGACCATGGATCTTGGTCCAAGACCACCGATATTGATTTGAGACCATAGATCTTGGTCCAAGACCACCGATGTTGGTTTGAAACTCAAGATTTTGGTCTCGGACCACTAGAATTTGAAAAGTATAAGTAAAGAAAAATTAAAATTCTTTTTGCTCTGACTAAATAAATAAATAAATAAATACATTCCTTAATAACACGCTATCATTAATTCCGAAACTCTGACGAACATCCATTCCGCATAACCTATGACCTATGCTTGTAACCCTGTGTTAATTCGACCTGATATTAACCCACGTAGGGATGGGTTCGGTCAGCTATTATCGACTATCGATATTATATTTTCGGGAGCATGGTTGAAGATTGTTCGTATTGGTTGTCAGATCAGATGATCATCGTGATCATCAGACGATTATAAATATTATTGAAAAAAATCGTAACTTCAGAGGCCGATTTAGTGAACTATAACTTTTCTAATACGTATGCACAAACTTATTTGTACACTTTTTGTTTCTTTATTTTATATAAACGTTGGAGATCGCAGGAGATCGCAGAAGATCGCATGTTTAAAAAAGTTTTATTAAAAGCAAAGACGAAACAAAAATTACCAACGAGACACCGCCTCAAGTGCATTTACAAAGTTACTGTGCACTTCAGCTGCACTTTCTAGTTCCATTTTGTCTTCAGAATTACTTTTATCTGCTTGTGTGGGCTCTTCCCTCTCTTCTAGCTCCACTTTAGTAAGTTTGTTTGGGCCTTTTTCTAAGCATTCAATGAACTTTTTTTCATTGTAATAGATGCCTTTCTTATAGTATTCTTCACAATGACAACAGCCATATTGTAATGTAGTGTAACATCCATGGTGATATCCATAACCACAGGTTAAAATTCTCCCTCATTTAATATTTTATGGCAATGATTACAAGTATTTGTTGAAGGTGGAAAACTTGCACTAAATCTTGTCAGTAAGCATTTTACGTCTACAATCTCATTTAAGAAAGCCAAATGATATAATGGGTATGTTTGTTTTTTGTAAAGTTTACTTTTTCCTTGATTCTTAAAAATTGTATGGATATAATCTAAAAGAAATGTTGCTGTTTTCTCTTTTAGGGCTGTTAATGTTGAAATTAAATAGGAATTTTTTTTTTTTTTTGAAAAAGTGTTTTTTAATTCACTTTCACTTTGCAAATTTTTTTTATTTAAAAAAATAATAAATAAATTTAGTTAAACTTAATATTTTAAAAAGTTACAACTTTACCAATTACATAAGCTTCGTCTATAATATTTTTTGCTGTAACACTATATAAAGTATTTGTAAAAATTTTACTTTGCATATTTTTGACAAAATAGTCATTGAAATTTACTAAATATAACTTAATTGCTTCTACTAACAAGTGATTATTACCTTGCCAGTAAAATATATCAGACAAAAATGCTAACAGAGTTTTATTATAATTGCATCTTCTCTACTTTAAAGCAAAGGTCCAGATCTAAAAGATTGATTCTAAATATTCATCAAATAAATCTGAACGAAATAGTATAGCATAAATATCAAGTGCTGTAGGAACTATATTGTTTAGTAAATCTATAATTATTTGGTATTCATGCAGACAGAACTAAATTTTACTAAAATTATATTTTATACTAAACACTATTCTCCATATACTAATTTGAGAAGCAAATTAATATGCCACAGTTTTGGCTTCTTGGCTAATATCTTCTTTTTTCCAAATATAAAGTGAAACATTTTATCAAAAAAAGGATAATATAAAAGTAAAATATATTCCCTTACATTTAATGATACATGTAAGAGGCCCAAAATAGGAACAAATAACTTAATTGCTGGCAAAATTAAATTATTGTTTATAGAAATAAGATTTGTAATTGCTTTTCATATAAATAACTGACCTGGCCAGTCCATTATAATAGGTACAATTCTGTTTACTAAGTGTTTAGTATTTTGATTAATATCAAAAACTAACTGAAATGCTATAAGATAGTCTTCTATTGAGTGTAAATTTTTTTCTTGTAGCCCAACTAAACGCATTATTTTTATTGAATGCTCTTTTTTTTATGTATCAATTGTATCATTATAAAAATAGATCATTAACAAGTCAATTATATCAAAATTACTAAAATCTGAATTTACACTTGAAAGCTATTGACTTTTTCATATAGTATATGCAACATCAAAAATCCTATGATAATTATATATTAAACGGAAACAAATATTTGCTGTATCAATGTTTAGAGAATTGTGAACTGACACATTATTAAAAACAATCAGTATAAGAACACAATTTTCTATATACCTTTTTTTTTTTTTGGTATTAAGATAATCTCTTTGGCTATGAAGACTTTTTATTAGTAATTATTTACTATTATAGTTACAATGAAGATACAACTAGCCACATGTACATACACTTTTTGAGTATCTATTTAAGTAGTATATATGCAGGTTCTATACTAGATGCCATATCTATAACCTAACTAGGGAGTTACCTATTTAAAACTTCTAATTCTAACTATTTTTATAACATATTATACTACTTAGAAACTACTATCTGGCCCATTCCTCTAGATTGCACACTTTGCCTTAGAACTTTTATAACTTATCCTGGGTTTACACCTACTAATTACTAACTTGTATTTCTCTATAGAGCAGATGCATAGCTATCTACTAGGTAAACCCACCAGAGCTTTCTCTATTCTATTTGGGCCAACCTGGTTTTGCACAGTTGCCAAGGCTCCTACTTGCATTGGTTAAG